AAGGTCCTGCAGACCTCCTCAGGCCCTGGCAGGGAAGGGAGTCAGCAGAAAGTCTCAGCAGAGGGTAGTGCCCAGCCCAGCACTATCAGAGCCAGGGAAGATGCCAACCCTAAAGAGACAGAATGGCCATGGTGGCCTGCCCGGCAACCTCTTGATTCTGCTGACACCTTGGCCTAGGGCAAGGGTGCGGGCTCTGTAGCCCGGGGTTCCACAGCAGCAGTGAAGTGCCACCATCTAGTGTGAGGGTTTGAGTCCTGTGCTGATGCTCAGTTGTGAGACCTCCGCTGACTCACGGAGCTGGTGTCCGGTTTCCCCACCTGCAGACCAGGATTACTCAGTCTCCTGGTACCTCTGAGGAAGCGTGGATTCCAATTCTTATGTGGACTCAGACCCAGATATAATTCAGACACAACCCTGTCAAGCTTCCTGTGACATCGGTAGCATCCACTGAGCCTTTCTACCCCCTGCCCTATAGGACCACAGTAGCCTGGGAGGCCCAGACCTCAGGAGCCTCCCACAAGGAACACCCCCAAAGCTCTGCAGAAGCAATGTGTGTGCCCAGCTTTTAGTATGCCTCCTGTGTTGGCCACCAGGGCCACCTGGAAGGCAGGCCTAACCTAACTGAAGGCAAATCTATAGACAAGAGGAAATGATCTTGAAGCTGGCCTGGTCCAGGGCAGGGAGTGGATGTGGACTACCACGACTCTTAGCCAAGGGAGGGTCAGGGAACAGTGGGGCTGCCACCACCCACAGGAAGACCCCAGGAGGCCTGCAGCACTTTCCCACAAAGCTGAGAGGAGCCAACATGGTGTTCTTGCTACGGGAGAAGGGCCTTCGAGGGGCAGGTGGCTGGTGTCATGGCAATGCAATCGATGACTCCTGGCTTTCCAGAAAAGTGGCTTTTAGAGGAACGAGGACCACCTTCAGCTGGGAGCGGCCTCTGGCCAGGCCATGGTGCGTCTGCAGCACTGTGTGCATGTGCCCGTCAGCAAATGAGTTTCATGGGACAGCGTCCATCTCACCCCTCCTCCACAAGGTGTCCTCCCTCTTTCTGTTTTATGTTATCCTATTTCTTTTTTAATGTAAGTGCTGGTCATGACCCACCAAATTGATTTAAAAATCCACTAATGGTTTGTAACTTCAAGTTTCAGAGCTGTGCTGTGGAAGACAGGAAAGGAAGGCACTGGCTGGCAGGAGGGGCGGCCACATGCGCACTGCAGAGCTGGCCATTTGTCTTGGGGAACGTGAGTCGGGGGCCTGCTGTCCAGGGGAGTTCCTTCTGCCCTGCTGTTCAGGGGCCATTGATAGCACCCCTTCCACATTCACTGCATGCCCAGGTGGGATGGCAAATGGCACATGCACCCTGGATCCATGTGGCCACCATGCATCTGAGAGTCTGCAAGCCAGGCCTGAGCAGCACGCCACTCGCCCGGTCTCCTGGAGGGCAGGCAAGGTGCAGTCCTCTCAGGGGACTGAAGCTGAGATCAGCCTCTTGACTTGCTTGAGGTGGCCCCCATAGGTGGCCAATCTATCAGGATCCCAGCTGATGTGGAGCAGCTGGGCTTCCTGGAGACTGAGCTTGAGGCAGATCTGGAGGAAAGGAAAATGGCAGGGATTCGGAGGCCAGGGGACTGTGTGACAGCATGGAGCAGGTAGGCTGGGAGGGGTTTGCTGGAGCAGGAGAGGACCCACAGCCACAGCCATCTGTCTGCATTAGCAGACTCTTGGTGAATGAATGAATGAGGTTCTCCTAGCTCAGGGGAGGTAAGGACCGGGAGGCCAGGGCAGAACTGCAGGACAGCTCCAGGTTCCCCGGAGTCCTGGCTTTAAGGGAGCAGGAGAGCCTGTCCTCCCACCCCTGCATGGCAGAAGCTCCCTCTTCGCCTGCCTTTGAAGCCCAGATGGAAACCTGCAGGCCTGATGGGGCTCCCGCTTCAAAGGGCCTGGCACGCGGGGATTCCCT